CGATCCTATGCATATTCTATTCGTCCAACCCTCTTATCCATGAACCTCGCTAAACCTCATTTTCCTCCCACCCTCACCCCTTCTCCTACTCCTGCTACTATCAACCTAATTTATAGAATATATGGAACCAGACCAGGATGTGTTCATCAATTACTTAAGCTTCCACGCTTGCCAGGCAAAATCCGATTGCTAGCCTCGAGTACTTCTTTCCCTGCTTGCCTGGCTTAACTGAACCTTATCCTGAAGTAACCTCCAAAAATCCTCACTTAATTCCGGAGTAGTAGCTCTAATCCGGGAGGAAACATCACCAAATGGCACATTTTCACAATATCTAGAATTCAAGGATTATCCGTTCGTTACCAGTATCCGCTGTAATCCCGTTCTACGAATCCCAGGCCATGATCCACTGTTTTTTGGCGGCGATAGCATCATTTTTGCCTAAGGCTGCTTTATTTGCTGCAATGTGTACCCAGTAAAATTTTAAAAAAGAAAAGTCCTATTTTTCAAAAAAACTGGGGGCCCTTTGCGCTAACAGATTATGCAAAACAGTGCATCAAATTTTGAGGTAATAAGGCACAGTGAGGCAAGTAAAATCTTCGAATAAATTTTTTCATGGAGCTACGTACTTCTTAAAATTTTAACTCAGGCTGGAATGCACCGAGCGGGCCCGTGCGATCATGCGTTTTTGCACCGAATTTGAATTACTTATGTCATTAACTGTATGAGTGGCTTTACACTTACTTTTTGCGGTCACCAATATAAACCACCATAAATTTCGCAAAGCAAATGTATAATTTCCATTCAACAGTCGTTCTTTAAAAGTAATCTAGTTGTTCAGTGAGAAATTTTTGCGTCGATTTTCAAGTGCTTGTAGGCAAGAACCATGCATACCTCAACGCCGAATTTGAAATACTTAAGATGTATTTGGATAGGGAACATTCCCTCAAAATTTCAGCCTTCGAGCTTTTCTGGTTGTCGAGTTAGTAGTTTTCCTGCAAAAAATTTCATATGTTCTTACTTGAGTACAATGCATAGCTTGGGCTTGAATTTGAAATATTTGAGTTGTATTTCGATAGGGAACACTCCTCCAAAATTTCAGCTTTCTAGTTTTCCTGGTACCCGAGTTAGCAATTTTCCCTCTAAAACATTCATACGCCTTTAGGTGAGTGCTACGTACAACTGGGGGCTGAATTTAAAATCTTTAGCTAGTACATGCGCAGGGAATATCCCTACAAAGTTTCAGCCTCTCAGTTCGTGTGGTTCCCGAGATCGCATTCCCGCCAAAAAATTTGCATATTTTTTTTAAACTTCCGTACGCGGCACCCAGGCGTCCAAAGGGGATGAAATTAAAACGGGAGGGTCACGCATGGTATAGGCACATATCCCCAAAGTTTCAGCCTTC